GCATTTTGATTGGTTAATTAGCGACTTGACCTATCCGGTCAATAATACGTCACGTGAGCATTCAAAAGCATGGCGGATATCGTATCGGCTGTTTACACGTGACTGAAATCATTCGCTTACGGGGAAACTAAGTTGAATTTTACTTGCATTTTATAACAATTCAACGAATTTATTTTTCGTGCGTTATTTATTGTAATCACTACTAAATAATAATCACCAATATCAACACTTCGAAAACAAGTAAGTTATTCACTTGTGACCAGCAGCATGGCCGGATCGAGCTACCGTTATGTGATCATTTGCTACTAAGCAGTGCATTCCTGTTTTTATTTGAAACTTCTGTTAGAATATACTTTTCGTTACCAAGAAAATTAAAAAAATAAATGCATATTACATTAAAAATACTGAGTATTTTTTGTATCATGTAGAATTTTTTTTTGATTGACTGTAATTTTTCAACATTTCGTAACGCCTATTTTAGAACCAAAATAAGGCCTTTCACTCTTCCCCGACGCCTATTCAAGAGATTGTACGGTGTATTGTTTGTTTTGTGCATGTGTTGTGGACAAAAAATGACCACGCCCATTTAGTGATTGCAGTATGTACGTAATAGAAACCGCACCCCGAACTTGAGCTTTTGATCCCAATTTTTAAATTGATACATTGTAATATAAACCGCGGTTTATAATAGGACTTTAACGGTAATTCAAAGGTTTGACAACTGTTTGTGTAGTATCAGTGTTATGAGTTCCCAATAATTCTATTATATAATAGTGATATCAATAACTTGATTTTGGAAAGGTTTGTCCAATGATTTTAAATATAATTATTTCTAATAATTTTAAAGAAAATATCAAGTTGAATAGAAACCACCTGACCTGATTTTTAATCAAATCACTATGAGGGATATCAATGCCAAGTTTGAATGAAATCGGTCAAGGCATGCCTGAGAAACTGTTGATGACATGTTCAAATGTTTTTTGGGACAAAAATGGCTGCCAGTCATTCAAAGGTCAATCTAATGAAAAACATCTCATTATGACTTGTCTGAACAGACGGCTGGACGAAATCCTAAATATTTTTCCATGCCTCAATTAAAAATTTTTGTACAGTGTCTCAGTAAACAGATGGTACACATAACATTCAGGTAAATGTGTCACCACCAGCCCAAATGCATTCTGGGTAATATCGCATGCACATTGACAAAGAAGTATGTAATGAAGAAATAACTAAAGAATTTTGAAAAATCACAAGTTTCAGAGAAACCTTTTGGAATTAATTAGGCATACTGATTTTATTACTTACAGTTTTGTCTCTTAGTGGTATCTGTCCAACAAGTCTTTTATCTTCTACAGTATCCAGTATTTCACCATTGACATACAAATCTAATTTAGTTGTAGAAGGGTTACACTTCAACCTGTGAATCACAGAAGACTTATTTGTTACTACTCAATATATCATGTAATACTATGAGGTTATCTCCTGATGTCACTTGTTGGCAGAGCTGGTTGATACGAGTGATGTCATGGGCTAGCATTATCCACGAACTAAAGTTGAGTGAATAAAACAAACCCATGACGACATGAATATCAATCCAGCTCTACCAACAAGTGATATCACATGATAACATTTTATCACATTATAGCAATAACAAGTCATTGAAAATGACACAGTCCCTGTTAAATTTGTGAAAGTTCTCTTTGAGCTCGTCATATTAAAGCGAAGGGGTTGTCGCGAGCGTGTCCTTGAAATTTGAGTTTCAAGTGGCGTATACAACAGATTGTTTATTTACATCAAAACACGTGTTTCGTGTCATAGTAATATGGTCAAAATAAAAACAGCCGTTATTCGGCCATCCTTGATCTGATTATGAAACACACTGATATGTATGATGTACAGTACAGTTCTCGCGGAAGCTTTGGCTTTTGTGGCATCATTGTCGCCTATGCATGGCTTCATTGTCGCCTCAGCATCGCATCATTGTGGCATCAGCTTCGCGTCATTGAAAATTGAAGCTGTGTTCGCCTCGCTATTTTGTGGCATCATCGTGGCCTCAGCTTCGCAGTCTCATGGCATCAACATGGCATCAGCTTCAACTTATTGTGACATGAGTATGACCTCATTATTTGCACGCAGAAGGGCAGTAGACAAAAACATGTACAGAAGTTCGATATGTAATCGATTTGAAATTCAAGGCGAATAAAATAATATGATCAAGAGTAAAATGACATTTTAAAAAAATATCTTGTTTAATTATTTTAGTGTTGCGAGTATTGGGCACCAAAAACTTTGCGAAGTACATTACAATCGGCAAGGTGACGAGTTTCATATTGACTGGAAGGAAAATCGTGATAAATTCAAATCACACGATGCAATCGTCGTTCTGATACAACACAATTTGCTGTATACGAAGTGAAACTGTTCTTGTTATAAAATTTACCTTTTTT